TTTAGCCATGCTTATGGTAAACTGGGCAGAAAAGAATAAAAACTCTGATTTCTTCGACAGAATATATAGAAGAACCCTATGGAGATGTTATGGTCCCTCAGAGAAAAGGTAGGCACTGATACAATTTGTGTTTTTTAACATTCTATAATGCCAATGGAAAAGAAATCACCATGTAATTGATTAAAATTTAATTTAGTATTTGGAATGTGCTTTCTAACAACACCACCCATTGTAGTGATGGTACATCCATAAACATATTCAATAACATCATACATTTTCTTTATTCCAATTCACTAAACTGCAATTGATTGTGCAATGCATGGCACTTTAAATTGTGTTGTGACTTAGGTGTTAATAATATGCAAGATTCTAAAGTTAGATAGAGCCATGGTTTTACATTCTTTTTTATGACTACTCCGAATCACAGATTATATTTGTGTGTAAAAACTCTGATTTCATCAACAGAATCTAAAGATGAATATGATTCAGCCTATGGAGATATGGTCGCTCTCAAAAAAGGTATGTACTGTATACAAACTATGTTTTTTAACATTTTTATAGTGCCAACAGATCACCATTTATTTTATTAAAATTAAATTATTGTCTATTGTAAATGTGCTTTATACCGGCACTACCTGTCATATTGATGGTGCATCCATACTGTACATATTCAATAATATTGTAGTTCCTTTTGACTCCTACTGTATTCATTCACTGCGATTTATTATGCAAATTTATTTTTGTATTGTGCATAGCACTTTACATTATGTTATAACATAAGTGTTAATAATAATTTGCAAGTACCTAATAAGTTAGAACCACGGCTTTACATTTTTTTATGACTACATTGAAAGATTATATTTGTGTGTAAACAATCTGATTTCATTGACAGAATCTAAAGAAGAATTTAGTTCACCCTACGTAGATGTTATGGTTCCTCTCTATTCGAAAAAAGGTAGGCATTAAGAACTACTATACTAACTATATATTGTTTAACATCATTACAGTCGTGATTGCAAACAGATCACCAAAACTAATTAGGGTTTATTTATTTATTTGGAAATATACTATGCAACAGCAGTACCCATCATAGTAATGGTACATCCATGCATATTCAATGACATCAAAAATTAAAATACAGTCGACTCCGCTTAAGTCGAAATCTAATGGGACTGGTATAAAAAAATCGAGTTATACAGATTTCGACTTGCAAATTTTCGAAAAAAGAAAAAAAATTATCATAGAACAATACTACGTGTAGGTCTACTCAATGCCCACAAAATCGAATTTCACGCAAAACCAAACATTTTTTAAAGTCCCAAAGTCATTCCTATTCTTCTTTTAATAAAATACTTTCCTGAAAACATGAACTCCCTATTCCACATCGCGCTGTCTGAGATGTTAGTTTTGACTTGGCTAACTTGTTGCCGTACAACAAGGATTGTATTTTTCCACGGCTGTGTATTTTCCCACGTGCGCTACAAAATTTGGAACTTCGACTTGCGTGGTTGAAATTACTTTAAAATCGGCCTATCCGGACCGGAAAATTCCGTCGATATAGCCGAAATTCGACATATTAACATTCAAATTAAACAATTTAAACAGTAATACATAGGAAAGAATTAAGACTTTTTCAAAAATTTGCATATCACCATGCGCAGGGAAAAAATTAAATGTGTTAAGAAAGCTAATTTAACCAAATCTCCCTGAAGGGATTTCTTCAAACTTGGGACCCCTTGGAATCAGTGTGTAAGAAAAGGAGGACATGTTCCGTGCTTTGGAAACACAGTCCAAAATTTGGGTTGAATTCGATGTGAATGCAGATTTAGCCAGGATATTTTTCACTGTATAAAGCTAATACTTGGAGTGGGGATGAATTTTTTTTTCTCAGCTGAAAAATATCTCTACCTCTTTAAAGTCTCAGAATGAGACTTAGTTAATAAAAATTCTAATAAATGCTTGAGTTAATTTTTAACCATCACTCGACTTATGAATTTTGGTAATAATTACTAAGTGGCTTCCTTGATAGTTTTTGTTTTCTTATGAAAATGAAATGTAAAGTCAAATTTATTGTATTTTACGAATATAATACTTATCTGTAAAAATTTAAAGTTGTTTTTACTAGTCATAACATCCTCTTTTTGTAAACTATTCCTAGAGTATTCCTATTAAAATAACTCAACTCCTAGGTTTTCTAAAATTTAACTTTAATATCTCATACTCGTATGTTTTATCTACTGTATTTTGTAAGTTGTGTCTTAAATAATAGGTTATGGAAAGATATTAACCTACTATTCATTTATATTTCAGGAACAGACATGCATGGAAGACATAGAAATCAGAAGAGAAATAAAAAGAAAAAGTAAGATGTTGAAGTTAACCCATGAAATAGATGCTGGAATTATATGATCATACGATGTGGATTTTGTTTGAATCACTTCTGCATTGAGTAATGTCAATAGGGAGGTAAAATGATAAGGAACAGGATATGAAGCTTAACAGTTGCCCTGATTCTTTAAAAGGTGGTATGGGCAAAAAAAAAAAAAAAAATTTCTCTGTTAATGCTACTAAATTTGGTTTTATTGTTTGATTACCTAAATTTTATAATTCACTTGTTGATAAAGATAATTCTATTTATTTATTATGATTCGTTTAGAACGTTTAAACGTAAAATTAAGATTTTTGACTGTGTTTTGTGTGTATTGTAACTGGATTGTTCTTTATTGTTCTCTTTGTTTTATGTTATTCCATTCTGTAAGTGGCGGGCTCCCCGCTGTGGAATGTGAAATAAAATAAAATAAAATAATAAAAATTTCAAAAAACAAAGTGTGCAGATTTTTTTTTATCTGAATAAATAGTGAAAATAAATGTGAATATTCAATCTTAAACTATCATGAATTATTAACTGTTTCATTTTAGGAAATTGTAGTTTTTGCTTATTAAAATCATAAGATTTTGAACCATGTCAAGCTAGATTTAGTAAACATTGAAATATGTTATGTGTGTGTAACACTTTTCCCAGATTATGGGACTATTTGCGGTCAAAATTAAGATTATTTTTTAAGGCATATATATCTAATGTGTTTATTTAAAACTGGAAAAATATTCTAATAGGTGATCCATTATATTTTAGCCCAATCTCCTAACTCATTGCTCTCTGTTCATGTGTGATTATTTTAATATTTCATGTAGGCCAAAGAGATCAAATTTTTACTTTCTGTTTGTGCTGATATATCTACTGCATTTATTTACTTCATTTTACATAAGATAAGATTATGGGGCAGCTGACTCTCAATGAGTTATAGTAAAATTTTGCTTAAGCTGCCCCTGACCAAAATTGTTGTTGTACTGTACCTTCTGTAAATGTGTATTGGTCGAATAAATAAATGAAATAAAGAATATACTGTATTATATAATTAACAAATGTAGCAAAAAAATTAAAGTTATGTTAATTGCATATTTTATTTTTGTGGTTATAAGGTAACTAATATGGAGCTTCAGATTGCATGACGAAGGTAGTCATCTGTGCTAACTACAGTTAAACCAATCTCCGGAAATTTGTGATATTTTCATACTGTGTTATCAATTGTCTTCCGGGATGCAAGTGCAGTTGGGTATGACCATGTGCAACAAAGTAGAAATAGATAAAGTAAAAACGCTCATTTAAACAGATCTCCCGGGATTGGTTGCTTCCAACTTGCGACCAATGGTTTGTGCACCAGTGGAAGTATATATAGTACATACTACATGAATTTCTCATGTTACATTATTTGCTGTTTATATGTTGCATCTTTTTTGTAGCTAATGTAAACAAAAATTTTTGCGTGTATTGCTGTTGTATTTGAGGGTCCCAGTGTTTGACACTGATCGGGTTTCACCCTTGTGAATCAAGTGCTCCGTATCTTAGCCTAATTTCTGAACTCATTCATAACTCTCTTTTTTATGTGTGATTATTTTCACATTCCGTCTATGCCAACGGAGATCAAATTTCCACTTTGTGTGTTTATTTATTTCAAAAAAAATAAATAAATTGAACTTATATACTTTATTATAAACCACTCAGTACTCGCTGTGTATAATTATCACAAACCAGATAATATATTTTTCACATTAAATTAAATTAGTTTTTTTTGTGTATTTCAATAAAAAAAAAAATTTCACTTCGTGTTTGGGTTAAACAGTAAAACTAATTAAAAAAAAAATTGAATTTATATATAATTAGTGTCTTTCTTGTAAATCATCACAAACCAGGTAATATTTTGTTGACATTATATCAAATTTGTTTTTTTTTTTGTGTATTTAAATAAAGTTATTAAAAATTAATAAATTGGCAACTTGTGGCAAGTCTACCCAATCTCCCAAATCAAGTGAATATTTTAATATTTTGTGTTTTGCAAAGGAGATCAAACTTCATTATAAAACTCAGTATTTCAATAAAGTTAATTATTAGCTTCCAACAGAAACTTAAAATGAGAATTAGGCAAACTTTTATATTTTATTTTTGGCCAATATTTTATATTGGCTGCCACAAAAAAATTGGAAATTTCAGAAAAAAATTAAGGTTTTAAGCCTCATACTGCCTTGAAATAAAAAAAAAAGGGATATGTATATTTCTTCCTGATTATATACTTTTAATCTAAAGCATTTAATGGCATTCCATTAGACATTGTTTACATTCACCAATAAATTATATTATTTCCTGTCTAGAGATTTTTAGTAAAACCAATATTTGAGGACATTTTTGAAAATTTTTTGCTGGAAGTATATATTTAATATTATTATTATAGGTATCCTTCCATTGCTTAATAATAGATGGCATGCATAGTCCAAGATTGAAATCTTTTTTAAGTTGTTTTACAATGCTGTCCTTGAAATAAGTTACAATGAACGTGGAATTCCATGAGCATGTTAATTTTTACAGATTTTAAGACTCCTTTTACCTAAATTAATGCTTTCATTTTTTTTAAATTATTTTTGATGTATTTTAAGTGAAATTCTGTACCAACTGAAATCAGAAAAGTGCAATCAATTTATCAATCTGTGAGTATAAAAAAACGATTAGTTTAACTGTATTTACTGTACATCTGATCAAAAATCAATAATTTGATTTGTGGTTTAAAAAAAATTGATATACAAGTATCTGCAAAATGTAAATCAGTAAAAGTTAGCCTCGCCTAGTAGCGGCATCAATTTCAATTTTAATGATCCAATTTTATCATTAAAGCTTTTATGCTACAGTATTTAAAACTGATCTTATTTGCTTCTTTTTGTATGCTTTAAGTAGCTGAATAAATGTAACTGATTTGAAATACCTGTGCAACTTTTTAGTAATCATTCAGATGTGTTCTGGTAATATTTATGTATATTGTCCTGAGAGAAATTGATATATGGAAGAGCAGCTTAGCTCAGTCGGCTAAACTGGTGGTAGCTGCAATGTATGCGCTAAGCCGTGGAGATCTCTTAATCAACGGTTCAATTCTAATTGCTGCTCTCCTTGTCAGCTGGAGGGCTGAAATGCAAATCATGATAGCGAACTGTCTTTCGGATGAGACGTTTAAACTGGACAGGCGCAGGTTTGCGACGTGTGTGCTAGCTAAAATGCATGTACAAGGACAGGGAGATGGCCCAAAATTCCTGGAGACTGCAGGTCAATCTGGGAGACTTAATGAAATTAGACATGTCAAATAAACTCATTTGTCCAGGTCTAATTTAACCACCTGTCTCTTCAAAACTTGGGACCTCTGGTAAAGAAAGACTTTTTTATTCCTTGTTTCACATGCTTATTTTTTTAAAGATCCACGGAGAAGGGCAGAATAAAAGATAAAAATAAAATATTGTTTTCTTATTTAGCAAATGCTTTTGCCAAAAACATCCAGATGGAGGGGAAAATAAAAATAAAATTTTATTGGTGATTGTAACATGAGATGGTTAAATGCTTCAAGTTTATATAATTAGGAAGAAGTATACTGCACATGTCTTTGCAGATTTTAAGGCAGCGGAGGGTGTAATAAAAATAAAGAACCACTTTCATTTTTTTTTTCTGAAATTTACATTTTGTTCATGGCAGCAGCGGGTGCGCTATTTGGCTAAAAATAAAATTTCAATATTTGCATTCACCAAACAAGGTATAAAAAAAGTCTCGTCTAAAGGGGCTGTGTTGCGTAAACAAAAAATTACCAAGGCACAATTTTGATGGTATTTAACACAATAGAGTTATCACCAGTTAATGTTTATAAACAGATAATTCAAGATATTTTGTTATCTTATTTCATAATTTTATTTAACTATACGACATGCAAGGCCTATTGCATTTAAAGCACAGCTTTTTATCAGGTAACACAAATCTAAGAGATAAGATAACAATAGTTGTTTTTCTGGGAATGAACATAGGACCTAGAATTGGAAAGTGAGCACTCAAACCACAAAAGCACAGCTTTTAAACCAATTTTTTTTGTACAAGTGTATCTTTTCTCCTTTCCATACTAATGCACTACACAATATTTTAATGTTATCTACTGAAATTACATTGGTAAGAGCGGTTTGGAGCAGCGGTTGTGGCTCTGCTTCTCAACCTTGAGGTTAGAGGTTTAATCCCTCGCTGTGTATCTTGCTTGTGTCCTTAGGCAAGAAAAGGTAAAAATCACGGTCAATTACCTAAAAAACACCTAAAATCACCTTATTTTGCAAATTAACACCCCTCAACTGATCATCGAGTACCCCACTTCACCTTCGCACCTGTTTACCTGTGGTTGTCTCCACCCAGGAGTACAGTGGGTACCTAGTAGGTTCAAACACAAAATGCACTGATTACAGCTGCAACATTATGGAATGTTGCAGAGGTCCCCAGGGACCTAAGTATGTGTTCCATAGTGCTTGACCCATTGCCAGTGGTATTAATGTTAAGTGCATAGTGGTCTCCACAATATGCGCTATATTAATCGACTATTATTATTATTATTACTTAATCAGTGATTATTCCTCTTACTCGGGGATGTATGCAAAAGTGTATGGATGTAGGAATTATCAATTCTAAATTAAAATCTTTAGTTTTTGTCTGTTATAGTCTTCAATTTTACCATACATTTTTGAAATGTATTTGGAGTTACAGTCAAATTTGGTAGTTTGTATTTTATATTTTTTCTTTTAAAAATTTGATATTTTAATCAATTTCTCTATAAAGAATATTACAATTTTTTTACATGTATTTGGAGCTACACATAGTGAAAATGTTGTATTTCATATTTTTCTTTTACAAATTTGATATTTTAATCATTTTCTCTATAAGTATATTAATGTTTATATTAATTATTTCATAAGTTCACTTTCCACTGAACTACTACTTGGTGGAAGACTTTGATTTCTTAGACTGTCCATCCTTCTTTTCTTGAGCCTTCTTGGACACTGTCTTGTTCTTGCCCTTGTGCTTCTGCTTATCCCCTCTGAAATACAACACCAATACAAACATTAAGTTTACTTGATATTTTTTATTCTTTCAGACCAGAATTACATTGATGCAAAAAATATATTGTGAACATAATTGTTTCTAGATTCTACCAATCAATCAATCATTATTCTAATGAATAATTAAATGTTTTGTAATAAAATTTATTTATATATTCTAATTTACACCAAGATAGAGATGGTGACAAGACAAGATGATCATTGTGCAGGTTGAAGAGCACTATTATTTCTGCACTGCATATGCGTTTAATACATTTGTATGTAAATCATGTTTTTCTTGCATATTTAGATTTTCTTTGTGTATTTAGCCCTGTTTTTTTATAATGTGGAATGAATAATATTGTTGATTGATTGACACTTCAAAGATTGTACTGTTTCTCTATAATTGAACAGAATATTTTCCTTGCCAATTAACAGAAGACGTGAGTAGCATCCAATCCTAATTCTTAGCTGGCTGGCAGATTTGAATACAGTGACATATCCAGGAATGCTAAATAGAGTGGGCCCAGTGAGGGACTTTTGCAAACAAAGGGTCTATACCACCTCAGCCCACCAATAGGGCTAAGCCACAAACGTTTGTGAATATAGCACCTCTCAGACCTAAATGTTAATATAACATTCTTTTCCATTTTTTATAATTTTCAAGAATTTAAGGGGTGCCTGGCTGACTCCCTCCCCCTGACTGCCATTGGCAAAGAATATAGGAACATTATTTTCTTCATGAATCTGATAATTTTTTATTTACTTATATTTATACCATGAAATGCTACATATCACTTAAATTTCCTAATTTGAAAGCTAATTATTTACATAAAACTGCTCCATATTTTCTTATACATTCACGAAATTTGAGAGGAACTATGGTTTTTCTGGGCCGTTTGGTGTGGGCATGTTTTGTTATTACCATTATGTTTTTATTTACTGGGTGGGTAAGCAGATTGTGACTGACCTGTTCATCTTGATTTTGTTCCGGCAACCTAGGCCTCCTTCCCAATGACTGCTCCAACCCTTAGTCAGGGACATATGGCAGGAAATGCATGGATTGTCAGGTGAAAATACCTGCAAAGAAAATAAAAACTAAATGTTACCATTCCTCTTTCCGGCAAACACAGAGGTCTCTGTGTTAGGTAACACAATGCTTGTCCGCCAAACACAGAGATCTCCATGTTTTTGATTTTTTTACGGAATCTGATAGATGGAATTATTGCTGACATGTACTGTACTAACAATTTGAACACTATATTCAGTCTAGACCATAAGTATTTCACTATTTGTTTGTTTACATTAGCGTAGAGCAGTATTGCTTTACTTACATGAAATCGTGATTATCTCAGCTTCGTTGTGCGAAATTGCGTAAATCTCCATAAGTGAGTCATATTCTTTTTACTGTTACGGGTCACAGATTGTGATTAGAATAAAGTGTTTGGTACCATTGTAAGGCTAAAATGTTTGTAGTATTCACTACATGTTAATCTGATCACATACGGACTCTCAACGAGCTTTGGAAAAGTGTTAAAATTTGTTAAAAATCTGGCGGTGGCTGATACTATTTTTTCAAACCCCTGGAGGTCAGTGTTAAATGAGTCAATAAAAGCTTAAAAGATTTGTCATAATAGACCTTAAAGAATTAAGTACAGCCATATCTGGGATTCTAAAATCTTCCAGAGGTTGGGGAGGATTCTGGCTATAGGCCTGTAACAGGCTCTACAAGCAATGCATAATCAGAAATTGGGAGAAAAATCATGATAATTTTTTAAATGCTTTTAAATGCACCTGATAGACCATAAACTTAATAGAGATAACTACCTGTTCTTTAGCACAAAATCCACATATCATTCTGTTGGCGAATGTGAATATATGATCAGAATCATCATCGTGGCACTGGTCACATGGGTAGCATTTTCCACAGCATGGAAACCTGAAATATAAGAGATGCATAATCACTTTAATCTCATTGCTTACATAGTGGCACACATTTTGGCTGCCCTCTATAGGATTTTTTGAGTGTGATGTAGGAGTATTACGGCTTCCTGTATTAAGACCAAATAAAATGCCTGCGCCCAGTAAAAACCCGACATTTAATGTAGATGATGTAATTTCCCAGCTTTGGTACAGCCTCAGGCAATGGTAATGGGGCAGACTGGAAAAGGTTAATTATTTGTTTATATTTTAATTATAAACCTATAGATAGAATCAATTAACTTTTTTATAATACTTAATATCGGAAATGCTTACAGTACATTTTTTATATAAACTTCTAATGTTAAATTCAGGAAAACAAATTACATGTAATTTTAAGTAAACAATAAATCTGAATCTGAATGTAATATTATTACAATAAATGACATTAATCTGTTCAGAAATTTCCCAGTTACAGAATTTTATAATACCCCTGAATAACCTTAGAACTTAACCCTAAGCTGTAGTTACCTTAACCATCTGAAGCTCTTTTTATAATGTCGGCAAATACCATTATCAGGGAGGGGTTTTCCATCTTGAACTGCTGGATCCTTCTTTGCTCTGATCATGCTCTGTACTTGATGTGTGTGTAACTTCTCAGTCACTGTAAAATTATCATTATTTTACAATGTATTTTATTAGAGACTATTTAGTGAGTCTAAACCCTCATACATGCCTTTTTGACATAAATAAAGATTGCTAGTACAGTATTTGAACTTGGTTTTTCCCCTTATCAGTACTCAATATTATTGTAAAAAGAATTACATTGAGTATCTGATTTTTCTTTACCATATTGCATTGAATCTCACTTATTTATTAATGAACTGAATAAACTAAAAATTATAATACATAGAGATAGACAGTGGAATTATATATAATGTAACTATGTACTGAATTTATATAATTAAATTCATCACTATACTTACCTATTGGATCTGATGCAATCAGCCTCTGGAGCCGGGTAGAGTCTACACGAAGTGTCTGCTTGTTGTGACACTGTGGGCACCAACTGCTTAATACTTGACCGTACTGAAGCCCCTTAAAAAATTGAATGAAAAATCACACGTCATTAATAAAGGGTTTTTAAAGATAAAATATTCTATGGGAGTCTCCTTCCCCCAAAAAGAGTACACAATATAATGATTGCTGTAATTTTTAAAACAAAATTTCTGTGGATGAACTCTTAAACAATTTCAATAGATCACTGTATTAGCTGAGATTTTATGCTACACATACACACATTATAAAACCAACTCACAAATGTACCGTATGTGACAGTTAATTGCGAAGAAAGTATTAACTCAGATTTCTGTGTTCTTATGCTGTTTAAAATGATATACTCTACATAAATAATTATAAAACTAACCTTAATTTTTTTCTGCTGATTACAACTTAAACAGGTTGCTTCAATCTCACAATCCATTACCAAGACATCAAATGGTACGCACCCATTCAGATCAAGATAACCAAGAATTGCCGAGTACTGATGCATGATGGCCGATCGAAAGGTCAACAAGAACTGATGCTGACATCGAGGGCAGACGATCAGATTGGTTCGTGCTCCTGGGGTGTTCACATCAGTTCTGTGTTTGCATCGCTCACATTGGACGGTCAGGGCTAGCTTTCTGACAACTAGTGTTCCGTATCCATCACCCATTTCTAGACCTTTGAAACGTAGCTCGGTTCCTTTCCGTTGTGGATCAATATCACTGCCTTGTTCAATGCTCCGTTGACGGTACTTAGCGGTGTTTCGTTCTTCTTCCTCTTCAGAACTTTCATCACTAACTTCATCAGCATCTTCCTCACAGCTGCCACTCTCACCACCACTACTCTCTTCTTCATCGTCATCATTTTCATCGTTATCATTTTCATCGTCATCATTTTCATCTATTAGTTCACCATTATCTTCTTCCTTTATCTGTTCTTTTTCATTACTCTCCTCTACAACTGGACATGTTTCAGTGTTCTCTGTTTTTTCTTTGTGGGGAATGAATTCAAATCCAGCTGCTTTTGCATCTAAACATCGCTTGTACTGTCATAAAAATGAACATTAAGAATTCATATTCAGAACAAATTTTAAGAATGTATCGTTAATAATGACGATAATGGCAAATCAGTAATAAATCTAATAACAGTATTGATTGATGGACTGTTTTATTTTCTTTTATGTGTAGCCCATTACAGAGAATTAGAGCACTGGGTACACCTTCTGTGTTCGTTGAAGTGCACATGGTCAGTTGTGTACACTTGTCCTACGACTGAAGTCCTTATCTGAGATGACTTGTTTTCAGCAATAGTAACTATGTTGTATTACTTGACCACACCAACTGCTCAAGTCTACAGCACTTGGAGTATTCAAAGTACTCCTAGTCTGTATGGTTTACTGCATGTTTCTTATCTTGAATGTTCTGACAAAAACTGGTGTTTAAATATGGTACAATATGGTCATATGCAATTTTAAACCAAACATTACACCCACATCAATCTACATCGATTAAGATGTCTAGAATGATATTTACCTTTCTTGCACCTTCAGTGAAGAGATTTTCCATACTTCTATCCAGCCACCTTAGGAAAGGCCGAAAAAGTAATTCAATCTTGCCACCTACAAGATTGGTACCATGTTTTGCTAACACCCAATTCTGTGATGCTTCATTTATATGCCTACAATAAAACATAAATATAATTTCTGTAGGTGAATATATTGTTAAATAATTGTATAAAAATAATTTTAGAAAACATTACAGTAAAAAGTGAATCTCTCAGGATATTGAATTTTAATTGATGAATGAGACTCGCATAGGTTTGATAGTGATTTTTACTGTATTTTCCTATATTTACCTTATGATGACATCTGGCAAAACCTGATCATCAGATATTTGTATATTGAATGGTTCTTTGGGATAATCTGCTGGAAAGCTTACATCAAATATAAATTCTGTGATGTCATAGGGCTGACGAAAAAGAACAAGAATAAAATTTATAACATATACAGTACTGCACTTCATTGGTAATTGCATTATTGATTTCTAACAATAAATAGGCGAGACTTTTTGTTTTATTTTTTAGACTTGTTTAGCGAGCACTCTGCCCACCAATACTGACAATTTTGAATAAAAATAGAATATTATTTTTTAGAAAATTAGCGCACCCGCTGCCATGAAAAAATAGAAATTTAAGAAAAAAATAAAGTTTTTCTTTATATTTACTACGCTCTCAACACTAAAATCTCTAAAAATAAAATATGTATATTTCTTCCAAAATATAAACTTGAAGCATTTTTAATTTAACCATCCCATTACTACACTGTTTACATTCACGAAAAACATTTTATTTTCTCCCCAGTCTGGATGCTTTTCTCAAAACCATTTGGTAAATACGAAAACAAGATTTTATTTAATTTTTTTTTCTGCCCTCGTTTGGCGATATATAAAAAAATAAGTTTGCGAAACAAGGTATAAAAAAGTCTCGCCTTACGACCATGATTAGTCATGCTTCTGATGTGTAAAGTATTAAATGTCAACTCACCCATTCCGGATCTGAAGGAGATGTTATAATTCTGTAAACTATATGTTTGCACTCCTCTTCAGTTATTGTCAATTTTCCCTCCTCCTGGAACATAATCTTCAACTGATTAATCTCAGCATCCCTGAGCTCTTTCAAGTTCTCTGGAGTTGCCTCACCAACACTGACAGAAGAACCTGGTCGTTGCATGACTTCTCTACTCCTTACAGTCTGTAGTGTCTCTGATGAACCATATTCTTTGACATCAAGATCTGCTGGGTTTTGTGGATGCCAAAAGTGACATCTATCACCCATGTTGCAACCTCCTTGCTTGTAGTAACGACAAAGTTTCCTTCTTTGCTTCATCTGAGTGTTAGAAACTTTGGTGGCATTACTCTCTTTCTGGTTCTTTTGTGACAAAGGTTCCAGAAAACCTTTTTGTTTGATTTCCTCCACTGCCTGGTTCTCAACCGATACATCACTTGGCTCTGAAATGGGCGAAATCTTCTTTTCACCAGACTTTCTTTCATGCCGAAAGCGACAGTGAACTCCATACCTGCAACGTCCAGACTTTTTAAAGAACCGACAGACTCCTTTAGGTCCCTCTTCAACAACATTGTTTTTATTTTCTCTTTTTTGACCACTTTCGACATTTTGAACTTCTTCAGTTGATCGTGTCTCCTCACTTTTTGTTGTTGTCACAACAGTGCAAGGCACATTGAATGTTTCTTTATCTTCCTTTGGACTATGGGAAAACCGACAACTCTCACCAAATCTGCACTTTCCTGTTTTTATAAAGAAGGTACATGTTTTATTGGAAGAGGATGTCCGTGTTGAATCAACTTCAGGAATACAACCAGTTGTTGTTTGGTGCGGTTTCACTTGTGCAGAGGTCTTACTTGCTTCTGAGCTCTGGTCTTCTTTATTGTGCTTGACCTCCAGCATGTCACAGGAAAAAAGTATTGACTGACTGTGTTGGCTGTGAGAGGAAATGTTTGGAGTCCACTGAAATTATAACAGAAACACAAATTAAATGCAAGAGAATGGAATATTATCAGAAATGTTTAACATTTCTTTGCACTCATTTTTATTTGAAACTAAAGCTAATCAATTGTTGATACATTTATTTCAATGAAGCCAATGTAGACTGCCAATGGCAGCAGAAGTGGGGCCATTGGCTCACCCACTTTTTCTACTGGAGGGGAGACCTGGCCACCCCCCACTTTTGTGACTGTTCCTAGCACCAGTGACAAACATTTTACGAACGCTGCAATGTCATTATAATTATTATTATTATTATTATTATTAATAGGCCTATTATTATTATTATTATTATTTCATGCTTACACTTTGTTTATTTGCGCCTTATAAACTGACCCATTATTATAAAATATAGATTTTTTTTTCATTTTCTAACAAACATTACATGTTCCCTTTTTGAGTTGAGCAACCAAATGTTGATTGAACGACTGTATACGTGCATCTGTAAAGTTTCCTTGAAACCCACCCTCGAGCATGAAGAAAAAATCGCCTGCATTCGTGAATTCTGTACTTAGGCATATAGGGGGGGAGGTGGGCACTCTTAATGGAGCAACGTTCTAGTTCTCTTTATGCTAACCAAGAAGATGTATAGTAAGTGTAACTGATTGGTTTACAGTAAACCTTCAAACTAGCATAATATAACCACATTTAATTTAACTAAAACAATAAGATACTTAATTAGGCCATTTTTAAAAATAAAATTCTCTGAAGGTTAACTACAGAATTTACAGTACACTGTAGGTAATGTGTTATAGGTTGTAAAAACCTATAACACATAAAAAAAAATATATAAAAGTTTGCCTAGAAATAAGTTGCCAATTTTGGTACTTTATTGTGTTTTTATCCTTTGAATATGATGTTTCTTGTCTTTTTGTTTTATTAAGTACATATTCAGAATAAAGAAATAAAAAATAAAAATATTAAATACCTACTACTTATACTAGACTAGGCCCTAGTACTAGACTACTACTCTAACAAGTAAGAAGGCCTAGGTCTGTACTGCAATACTACAAAAGCCCACACAGGCTAGGCCTACAGCAAAGAGTAGGCTAGACCTAGGCTAACGGTCAGCCTGAGGCTAGTGGTAAATAAAAATAAAGTAGGGCCTAGAAGCTGAAGAAAGAAAGAGGCTCACCTTCTTGGAAACCTGAAACAATGAATAAGCTGACTTCTTATCTGTCCTGGTGTGCTTTCACCTAACCGTCGAAGGTTATTGTTGTAGTGGAAAGTGTGTACGTATTTATATATACAGCCACACTAAAATATAAACAAAACGTGAAATTTCGAAAGATTGTGCAATATAAGAGAAGTGGACTTTATCCTACTACTACTGGACTGTAAATGAAATGAAGGTAATAATTTTATAAATCGTCAACTCGCGTCAACTCACGTTAACTCACATCAACAAAAGCTGAAGAAATTTCGCATGCCATCACTTTCATTGGCGGATCTGAATAGGGGAGGGGGAGGGAGAAAAAAAAATAATTTTAGGCCTACATTTTTCAGGATCCGTGAGCTGAAATTTGTTTTTGTTACAATTGGAAAATTAGAAGTCGGGAAAGCTGATCATTCACTTCCCGGGGGAGGACCGCGGCATCTCCTTCTCTTCCCCCTTACATTTTGGGGTTCATCGATTCATACAAAAATTTCGCGGGGGCATGCCCCGGACCCCCTACGACAGTGTTGTCTCAATCGGCCCAACTTTCGGCCCCCCCTTCCGGCCCTCCCCCTTTTGGACATTTCTGGATCCGCCCCTGTCATGGAACTTGAATTTTGAAGAACTTAAAAGAACATATGAGAAGTCGGGAAACTCATTTCCCGCCATCTAGGAAAAAAAAAATTTCTTAATAATAATATAATAATAATAATAATGATAATAATAATAATAATAATAATAATAATAATAATAATAATAATAATAACAATGGTGATGATGATGATGTTGATGATTATAATGATGACGATAGTAATAATTGATAATATAATAACACTAAAAATTGTAGAAAATTGCACTAAATGGAAAAAAAAAAGTTGTGATTTTTTTTTATCATATTATGTGTAGTTAAATTTTAGTATGCTATAGTTAGTTAAAAAGATCCCTGATAGTAATTATTGTGCTAAATGCAAAAAAAAGGTTGTGATTTGTTGATCATAGTTATTATAGCATAGTATAAAGCTTTAGTGAAGCTATAGTTAGGCCTATATACTGTACGTTGTCCTGGATATTAAATGATCCCTGATAAAAAGATCATGAGAGATTTGTTGGCGTTTCATTGATGGTGATCGAATTTTACATTTCCTGCCATCTAGGGTACTATTTCCTCAAATTTTCTCACCTCAGCCCCATGGTTGGGGCTGGTGATTTTGATAGGCCTAAGCTTTAAGCTTTGTTATCTATGGTATATCACACACAGATTAAAAAAATATCTATGGTTGCCAAAAATCCCTGATAAAAGATCATGCCAGAATTTTTTTGCGCTTCATCTAGACTAATTCATGGTGATGTGATAATGATGAATTTTACTAAAAATGTCATTTCTGGCCATCTAGAGATACTATTTCCTCAAATTTTCTCACCTCAGCTCCAACCATGGTGGGTCCGAGGGGGTGTCGAGTCACAAAATTTCCTCCCCCTTCACATTTCAAAAACAAATCTGCGCCCTTCCCTGGGTAAGTATGTCTTGTGACTGGTGAGGTGAGGTTTTTAGAATGTGATCTGGTTTTTTTATGCCCATTTTTCGTGATTATGACTCATTTTGTTAAAGAAAGAGAAATTCAAATTTAAGTGTGAGAGTGCATGAATTTCCGGCCACCGAGAGATGTCCTAACCATACATTTTCTTACCTCAGCCCCAACCATGGTGGAGCTGAGTTGAAAGTCCCTCCCTGGTACACCTCTCTTTCGAATCCCTGGATCCGCCACTGTTGATTTATTATATAATTATTGTTGTGTTTACTAATTTTATAATGCGTCTATTGCAATTTTCACTATATTCTCTCGAAACAGTCCAAGAACCTTCCGCGGTGCGCTACTTCACAGGGGGATTCGCCCCTCCCCGGACCCCGCCGGGGTCCTACGTAATTCGCATAACTGCTTCCCCTACCCCTTTCATCCTGGCTATGTCCCTGGCACCAACAAAACAAAAACAAATTCACATTTATCTGAAAAATAATTGTGAGAAAAATAAAAGGTTGGCTGGCTGTAAAACGCGCATCAAACGCAATTCACGTTACTGTACACGACTGACATACGATCATTGTAACGTAGTGTTGCACCACTAGATGCAATCAATCATCAATCCAGGGGCCACGGCTCGACTTCCTCCTCTAGAGCTGTGCTTCGCTCGTCGTGTGACGAGGCGGCGCCCTGTGTATATAGTTCAGGCTGGTTCAGGTCAGAGGTTGCACACTACAAGATGGCTGCGCCCTGTGCCCTTATTGTAAGCTGTTGTAGTTATCAACCTAGCTGTCTTGTTAAGCGTAAGGATACATGTATTTTATTGCCTTTGCTTTGTGTTATTGATTGAATCGGTCGTGAAGATTTTTAAATTTTAATTAATCTTATTGGCTAGGCCTAGCCTGGGCCTAGGCCTAGCCTAGTAGGCCCTAGTAGTCAGACAGAGTAGTAGGCTGCTGCTAGCCTGGCCCTAGAGGCCGTCGGCTCGGCAAGAAAAGAGGCTAGCTAGACTAGGCACCACTAGGGCCTACTATACCTGCACAAACACGGCAGGAAACCATTTGTCCGGTTGCGTTTACTGTGCGTTTTTTGAGTGATTCGGTTTATGGATGGAATTTTACAATACATACATGTGGATGTTACCGCATGACAGGTGAAATTGAAATCAAAATAGATGAATCGCTCCAAAGCGCATGCAGTTACAGAGTGGGGTCCTTCTGGTGGTGGTGTTTGGGCAGCACACCGGGAGATCCCCTACACTTTGCCGAAGAGTGTACTGCGTTCTTTAACATGCACATGGGCCATTAAAATGCACATACATGGACCAACGGCTTAATTAAATGTCTCATCCGAAAGACGGTGCGCTGTAGTAACTTGTATTTCAGCCCTCCAGCTTAAACACAAAGAGAGGCAGCGATATGAATCGAACCAGGGTCCTAGAGATCTCAGCACACACAGTGGCTACCACCAGATTAGCTGACTGAAACAGAGTGACACTGTCTGCTGATCGTCAGTGGCAGTCTGAACAGATTGTCATTAAAAATAATCTTTGTATCCTTGTTATGGCAATACGTTCTCAATTTAATTGCGTTGTCCCTGTGGTGCAATGAGTTCCAGGCTTCATAAAGCCAGTTTTCTGTGAGACATCTTTCACCAGATTATGATTACTAGCATTTTCGCTAAATTTGGAGTTCAAACAAGTTTCTACATTTTGCGAAGCGAACGCGCAGAGCTCAAGAAAATATAAAATTGCACAAATGAGCACAGAATTGAACTGATAATGTATGCATACGAATGGCAGGGGTCTCTCAAGTCTACCGGAACTTCCGCACTCCCGAAAACAAGCAAGATTCTCTCTGAAATAACCCATCTCCTGCAAATTCATAATATTTGCATGTTTTAAATATTTTATTATCAATTGTTTCATGGAAGTCACTGCCGATGGATTACTGTGTGCAGTAATATATAAGATTTAACAAAGAGAGTGTCATTTGCGGCAATTTAGAGTTACCATAATCAAGGTGGGGCTCAGGAGGTAGGCCTAACCTACATCTGAGAAATTTTCCGGGGATATTCCCTGTGAAGGCCAAAATTTATAGTCTAGCCCTGAATAAAGAAAGCTTAAATAATAATTATGATTCAAAATTGAAATGTAATGATGGCATGCAAGGGAATATACAGTAATTATGTACTACCAAAAATTTAGGTCTAAAAATTCATCCATGCATTTTTAAATAATGATATAATAATTCTGATTTATATAGCGCCTCACGTTGACACACAACCTCGAGGCACTTAACAACAATAGAGAAGGAAAAAAAAAACACCTTTAACTCAGTCTTCTAAAGTATTACGGATCTCCCGTAGTTGCTACAAATTTGCCTACTTTAATACGGAAATAGACAAAAATACTACAGAAATTTATCATAAATTAATAGGTCTAAGTCCAGAACGAATGACTTTTCCATCCGGATCTTTGGTTACATTGTCCCTAGACAATTGCTAACTGTTACGTAATGATAATTGGTAATGATAATTAGAATGCATATTTAATTTTTTTTTTCGTGATGATTTTCTGTTATGAATATTATAATATCTAAAGTAATGACATATGAAATTGTACCATGAGTAATCAATACATTTATTTATCTCTACGGTGGCTCTCATGGTAGCGGCTTATTTTAGTCTTAATTAGTCTCCCGACCACCAATTTGAATATATGTATATATATATATGTCAATAATATTTGTTTGATTATAATATTGGTCAAATAAAACAATCTGAGTTATGTGTTATGATGTTTGTCAGACTACTGATAATTTATTGTGAAAACTATGAAAAAGTGGTCTGTTATTTGAAATTATACAGCTGTTATTATCCTGTACCTGTGATTTAAGCAAGCCATATTTTGCACTCAACATAAATTATTAGTGCTACAGAAACTTTGAATTTAACTATGGATATTTGAAGACTTAGTTACTGAAATGCATTTTACTAACTTAAAAAGTCTGCTTTTTAATTCATCATCATCATAACCTGGTCCGGCTTGCTCGGACTTCCAATAACTTTGGCATCTTTAATTAATACAGTATAGGCCTATTTGAATCCACAGAAATTATTGGAACAGAAGAATTGCCAGATCATAGTATTGTGGTTGAACAGATTATTGGTTATCCATGGACTGTTGATAACAAGTACTACACAGCAGATATACAGCTTTGTACTACAACTCAGAAAACAATTGGTACTGCTGAGTTTGCAGAGTCAGTGAATGCAGTGGTTATTATAACTGATGATAAGGTAGAGTACAGGCCCAATTAAAAGCCAAGGTTTCCATAGTCTTTAGCAGATTTGATCTCTATTAAGAATAATAAAGATAAGAAAATAGAGTTCTCAATTAGAGGGAGACCTTTATTTCAAATAACTGTAGGCCTACAGAACTTTCATAAGCTGATAATGGGGTTCAAGATTTAATATTGGATTTATTTGTTATTTTGTTTATATTGTCCACATGTGATACAATATAATCCAATAATTTTATGCCCTCATTTTTTATCTCACTACTGGAAAAAACCTCTACTACCATATAAGGCCAAAAAAAAAAATTTTTTTGTTGGCCACGTTTTGGTAAAATCCAAAAAATTGGTAGGTCGGTAGGAAAACTTTTTTTTTAAGACCCAAAAATGTGTTTCCACTTAGAAGTAGAAAATACACAAGTAATACAATTTTAGATTTGCATTGCGTACCATACACCAAAATATGCTAGGCCTTGGCCCCCTAGCCTAGTCCAAGGGTATAGCAGCCTTATTAGCTCATGAAAAAGAAATTATTGTTCCTTGTAGTCAAAAAAAAAAAAAAAATCTAAAATGCTGACCCTGAATTTCATAAAATTTGGGTCAGTCGGGCGTGGCCAACACAATAATTTTTTTTATTTGGCCTAATGAGACTGTTTATAAGCATATCTGATTGCCCTTTACAATAGCATTATATTTCTACAACAGGTTTCATAGTATAAATAAATATAAAGTAAATTAATTATAATAATAATTGAGCTGTTTTCATTTAACAATTTTTCTGTTCAACAAATAGGCAAGTAGTTTCTCATCTGTGAAACAATGGATGCCTTTCATAGAGCAAATGGAACCAGAAATACAGATCCTCGCTTGTGTCAAGTTTGATGATGATGGAGGTAAGATTTATAATACATTTTGTTTGTGTGTATGGGTGTTTTTCAAGAGTTATTTGTTATTGGTATGTGGCTCTGTGTATGCTTGGGTGGGTGTCTAGGTTTATGTGTTGTTGGGGAAGTTGTGTGTATGTTGATTAACTTACACCTGCCAACTCTCATGCATAATGTGCGACTTTTACATCTCAAGCCCATCTTGTATTATCTCACGCGTTATAAAAATTTTATAAAAGATGAAATGTATAGGCTGAATAACCCTACAATTTATAAAAATTCGTCATTTAAAAGTGAATACAGGTATTATAAATTTCATTTAACGAAGCTATTTCAACCAACGACTGTAATCAGGGGCAGTTGCAAATAACGTAGAGCACTCTGTTTCGTGATTTTTACATAGAGGGTGCTATATACAATTTTATTTTTGTCTAGCACATCAGACGCCAACAGAGTTTGCATGTACCTGTATATTAACTTATCTGATGGTTCAAAATATTTACCCCTATTGTACACATTTTAGTAAATAGTAGTGAAAGAAAAGGAAGAAGCTATCTAGATTTTTGTGATCAGTGATGTATATAGGTTTAGTGCACTACAAAATTTGCAGTACAGTATTATTGTTTTCAGAAGTAACAAGAGACACTGCTCTGCATTGGTGCTTAGAAAAGTCAGTAGAACTAGTTGAGTTGAATTCTGAGGAAGAAGACGAAGATGAAGAGGAGGATGGTAAGTCTACGTTTTAATGTGTTATAAATATAAATACTAACATTTAATCTTAAATATTTTCTTTTTTTTCCCAAAATAAATTTATAGACGTTAATTAAAAGAAAGTAATGGCCTCTTTGCTGATAAATTTTATAATTTGCTTTTTTAGATGGATTTGCAGAAACAATAGGTGTTGAACGGATCTGTCTC